ATTTTCGCAACCTGCAACAACCTGATTTGTTGCAAGACATGTTTGAACGTTAGTGGTAAAACGTGCAACATCGCTTTTTAACTCGTTTTGCAGCCAAATGTTTCAAAACAAGTTGCACGTTTTTGTTGCCTGTTTTACCGTACCTTATTCCGCATTTTTCCATTTTTATCAAAAATTAATTGAAAAGGTTACTCACACAGTACAGAATGATTTGAAGAGATAACTGGAAAATAATGATGATGATGATGATAATGATAATGATAACAAAATAGCCGAAGTGTAAGCTATCCGGGAAGGTGGGATGGGGGGGGGCATACTTCCCTACATGCTGCCCTGGGTGACCATACTGGGATGTGCCTCCAAACTGTCCAAAAAACGGTTATATGGTTCTATCACAGTGAACAAGTCGTAAACGGGGTGTAATTGTCTAATCTGGGTTTGTTTTAATTGTTTGTTCCTTTTTTGTCCTAGACAGGGTTACCTCACCACCAGTTTACGCCTTCTCTGCCCGAGAGCTTTTTTTTCCCAACGCACTGAGCACATACAGAAACCCAAAATTTCTAATGATATTACTAACCTGCAGCTTTAAATCATTTAATTTCTGTAACTCGAAAAAGACTGCGAGCAGTTCAGGAAAGAACTAAGGCCAAACCAGGGACACTAGGGTCTACATCCTCTTGTCCTTGCAAAGAGCATCGCCAAGGGCCTGTTTCTCGAAAGTCCCAGAAACTGTTCGGGCCCAAAGTCAAATATTCACTAGCAAACTGCTCCATTTTGTTTCATTAACTGATAGTTATATCACGTTAGATGCAAAACTATTGAAACCTCGACCTTTAATGTAAACGGCGAGAAACGGGCCCCAGACCCTATGATTAGCTATGAAAAATATCTAGCGTCAGGAGTATAGGCTCCTTTGGTACCTCATGTTATAGAATTATGCTCAAACATCAAGAGAATTGATAGGGTGTCCAATGCTAAAATCTATGATCTAACTCAGACTGCCCCGCTAGTAGAAAATGTCAGAATCCGCCAACTGAGGTTTCTGGGCCATGTACTCAGGATGCCTGATGATGAGCCATGCAAGGAGTACGCACTGTATATTCCACCACATGGGAAGAGAAAACCAGGAAGGCAACGAACCCTGTTTCTCAGATACATTCAACAGCTTTTGGGAGACACAGACAACATGATTGGCCCGGGCAAGCTGTCTGAATTGGCACAGGATCGTTGTGGCTGGAGGAAGCTCGTAGTCGCCTGCTCTGCAGCCGACCGATGATGATGAAAATTGAGGAGTAAATTGGGTAAAAAAGAGTTAACCGTAAAAGAAATTGTCCCCTAGATTTGTTTATTTTATGGAAGGTGTTTAACTCGCTTATGGTTGCGTTTTTTATTTTCCGGCTACTTTGACTCCGTACGCACGTTAGGCGAAAAGCCTTTTAGGTGTATCTCGGGGAACTAATTTTTCCTATAGCGAAAGAGGGCTTCTCACTGGGAATTAATATTTGCGATTTTCAGAAGGTCGTGCCTTCGAAACACTAGTGAAACAACACGCAGAGCTGTTTGTAAAACACGTTGCCGATAAACAATATTTTCCTGTTTTTCTCTGACGCTACGGTAGACATTGCCATGCCTAGTCCCTGCATGTACGGCGTCTTCCCACGTAATCTCGGTCAAGGCATTTCGGTGGCGAACTCGCTCTGACCACGTGACCCGAAACGCATTAGC